CCCATTACTGACAGAAGATGGGATAGAAGATGGAGGAGTCCCCTGGAGAGCTCCGTGCGAAAGATATTCCACACCAAAGAGACCCAGGAACTGAAGATCCTTCAGGGTGAGGGAAGGAGACGATGCAGTGGTTGTAGTAACGGTGCTAGAGCTGGGAGCACTGGCGCCACTGCTGGCCGCGGTAGATGTTTCACTGGTAGACGTCGCGGGTGATGGGATGGACGTATTCATCTGAAGAAGACGGGTGAATGACGAATTGGTGATACAGTCGAATGGGAAGAAGAACGAGAGAGAAGGATAAGAACAATCGGAGGTGCTTCTTCCATGCTTGAGATCCTAAGTGAATGCTGGATGATGCTGGTCACCCACGCATGCGCACAACTGAACTGCGTGGGTGTACAAGTGGGTTGCTACATTTGCATACTGCCCACGCCATGCAGTGGGTGCGTGGGCGGTCAACCCAAGCGAGGATGGCCCCTGCTGATTAACTCCATTTAAACCATTGCTCTAAATGACAAGACAAGGGAGGGGCTGGTTTTGGGCGGTGCAACTATTGTCATTTTAACCCTCAATATGGCAGCATTGAAACAGCAGTTCATGATGGACTTTTGACATATAGGGAAGAGAGAAAGTTGATGATGAAAATGATGGAGTTACTAATGACAGCAAAATAACAGATAAGGTAGTTTAAATGTACCTGTACATGTATACTAGTACATGAATTTAAGTAAAATTGTGAATTATATACTGCATTACATGTTTTTGCTGTACATGTTTACTAGCTCAATGGTAATGGTCACAAATTCATAATTATGCAGTATACATAATTCACAATTTTTAAATTTAATTTAATTTAAAAAGTGTGAATTACTGCATAATTATGAATTTGTGACCAGTGCCATTGAGCATTTAGTATAATGATCCTATTATATATTATATATTTTTGATAGAATGTGATGGTGGATTATTATCAGTTAGTAGTATATTTATACTTTATTGTTCTCATCTCTCTCCTCCTATCCTTTCTTTCATTTTCTCTCTCGTAGGAGCTTGTAGCTTTAAAAGACTCTCATGTATTTAATGTAAGTAATGCTCCAAAATCACTTCAAATTTTTATTACATTTTAAAATACATATTGATGTTCTTATGCTGTGTAGAAAGTTTAAGCTGATTCCATCTTCAATTTTTTAAGTTATGGCCATTTTAACAAAAATTTTATGCCAACATTCTGAAAAATTGTAACATTATTATTGTATAGTGTATTGTATTGTATTCTAACTACTTTTCATTTAATTGTATTTATAGGCTTACGTTTACAAGTATTTCATCTCCTGCTACTCGCAATGCTTCTTCTTCTTCAGCTGCTGCTTCTGTTATTAATAATAACAGAAGAGCAGCTGAATTGCAATTGGACTGTCTAATTGGCTATCAGAATTATCATTAGGATATAGATAATAATGATCATCATGCATGTTAATGCTGCCATCAATGCTGTGCACATTACATATATGTAAATGCTTGCCAGCTGATGTTGCGCATAATGCTGCCATCAATGCTGTGCGCATTATTAAGTTAATGCTTGCCGGCTGATGTTGCGCATTTGAATGATGCTGCCATCAAAGCTGTGCGCATAATAAATGCTTGCCAGCTGATGTTGCGCATCTTTTATTGATGATTGTTGTAACATGTGCATGTTCTCATTAACAAAAAAATATTGTTTGCACATTGGAAATACTTTATGCACACAATGATATTTTATATTAAGCAGGTCATGAAAGTATCTTAACTGAGGATATCATTAGTAAGCAATATTATGTCTAAAATGCATGCATGCACATACATGTATGATCCAATCAGAAATATTGTAGATGCTACCATTATCATTATTAGTTAGTATGTCACATTCATACTTTTTACAGGTACTTGCTTGGCACAAGGACTACAATGTGGTTTTAGAGGGTGAGGTTTGATGTGATTGGTAAGTGCTATTGTTATTATTAGTTATTAATACTCCAAGGAACCTGTCAGTTACTGCTTCTCCTAATCAAACAGTTTCAAGGTCTAGGAAGAAGCGTAAGAAGATTACCAATTCAACTGGACCTCATAAACAACCGGCAAGACAGAGTAAGTCAGTATAACTAAGGTTGATTTAGTATTGTAAGTGTAGAAATTTTGAGCAGTAGTAGTTTTCGTCTTAGATAGAGCTGATAATTTTGGAGGGAGGGATTTATTGAATTTGGTGTTTTTTATGGCCCACTATTTCTGTAGATGACATACTATTATGTATTTTTGTGTCATACATATACATGTACATTGTACAGGTATTAGTAAGGAAGTAGAGCCACCAGTTAAACCTGGTACTCCTGCAAGGGAAGGAGTTACTACATCACCTGCAAAAACTGTCACTCAAACAAGGTACAATAATTATAACTTATAATCATAATAGCCACAAAGTTTTGA